GAATAAATAAATAAAATAAAAATAGGTTGTTACATTTTCTGGTGTGTTCTACATACTCTTAAAAATAAGACAGGGTCTATCCACTCGCACAGTGACCAGTAGACCATGATATTACAAGATCTGAAAGGTTACATTCACAATGAATAAATAAATAAAATAAAAAGAGGTTGTTACATTTTCTGATGTGTTCTACGTCCTCATAAAAGTAAGGTAGAATCTGGCCACTTGCACAGTGACAAATAGGTCACGAGGCCACAAGCTCTGGTCGGTTACACATTTACCAAAAAGGAGGCTGTTACAATTTCTGATGTGTTCTACGTCCTCATAAAAGTAAGGTAGAATCTGGCCACTTGCACAGTGACAAATAGGTCACGAGGCCACAAGCTCTGGTCGGTTACACATTTACCAAAAAGGAGGCTGTTACAATTTCTGATGTGTTCTATACGTCCTCTTATAAAAGAAAGACAAACTGGTCGGTCGCATTTCCACAAATAATTACGTTTTAACAACCTCTGTGTGTCTGTCCACCGGCAAAGCACATTTTTATAGACTTCAGTAGTTGCACATAACTTGTAAAACCTCAGACAATTAGTTTATTCTATATATTAAAAACAATAACACATAAACACAAATATATTTATCTTTAAACCGAATGTAATTGCTATACACAAAAATAAATACTTTTGAGACTTAAACTTTATTCTAGAATAAAATAAAATTAATAATAAAGAATTAAAAAGATTGATTTACAAAGAAATATTTCATCCCACCAAAAAATATAGCGTATCATTACTACAAGAAGCGCTTTTATGTGCTCAAGTGAATGTTAAACTAATATGTTTCAGTTTAATGGCATTGAGGATGGAGACAAAGATTTCAGAACAAAGTCTGTGGACAAAAGGATTAGTAAAGCTACACTGACCCTGTAAATCTACTGGGAATAAAAAAACGATAATACTAAGTTGAAAGGTCATGAATAGGTTTAAAGCTGATGAATCTACACATCCACTGTAAGTAAAGG